CTCAGCTAATAAATTCTCTTTTTCCAATAAGTTCTGCCAACAATTTTTACTTTCACTTGTTAAATAATTTTCTCCAACAATTGGTGATATTTTATTGAACACCTTATACGCACATTTTTTTTTAAATTTTAACACTATAAGTTCTTCCTTCAAATCCCATATCAAAACTTTTCCAACTATTCTACAGTATTAATGCATAATACTTTTTACAACCAAATTTGCCATAAAAAATTAATTAAACTCAATAACAATATTCAAGTCCACGCTATCATCATCATGCTTTTAGTAGAAAGTTTTTTGAGCTTAATTCATCTTTTCCTCCCTACAAGTCCACTGGCAGCAACAGCACCCAAAACCAAAAAAAAAAAAAAAACAAAGAATAAAAATTACATTTAAATCACACCCTCACACATATGGTCATTAAGAAGAAGAGTTTACAGCTTCTTACCTTAATTATCAACAATGGCAGAGGAGGGAAGGAAGAAGAAAGTGCTTACGGAACAGGGGAGTGGAAATTTGATGCAAGTCAACAGCAGCACTGTTAGAGGAGGAAGGCTCTAGCATTTTCACAGTCACAGGTGTCAGTCACAATAGAAGAAGACGACGGAGAAGGAACAGAAGATGAAAGCCACGCACTCTAGACTAGTGAAAATTACAGAACCAGTGATGATGAAGAGGAAACTGGCAAGAGGGGGAAGAGTGATAAGAAGATGGTCACCGAAGGCATAGTAGCGGGGGGCTTGCCAGAAAAATCGAAGAGGAATGTGGAAAGAGAGAGAGAGAGAGAGAGTCGGTGAACCAGAATGAGAAAGAAGAATCCAGAAATTTTTTTCCTCCTTTAGTGCGTGGATTTTTGGCCAAAAGAAAAAGTATAAATTTGACTATAAAGCTTAATTGGAAAAGTTACAAAATGGGCATAGGAACAATTACAAGAAAAGGCCCAAGTAAAATTACAAGAAAGAGCGCAAATTTTTTCTATAATTTAAAACATAATAAAGTTAAATTTTTACTTAGTAAAATTCAAACTCTAAACCTTCAAGAAAGTTACTAGCTCAAGTTCTACTAAATTATTTCTCTGCTTGTTATAAAACTAATTTGAATAAAATATCAATTGAGAGAAAAAGTTTTTATTTAATTTAAAATTTAGGGTCATTACATAAATAAAGATAATTCTTCATTATGTGTCATACATGCACACCTATATAGTTTAAGTTAAATACAAATCATCTCTGAACTAATAGATACACAGATTCTTCACCATGTGGATTTGATGCCGGAGAAGTTGATAGTTGTCATAAAACACCTTTCATGTGACCCCACGCTCAGATAGAGCGCTATTGGAGCCAAATGTGAACGAGGTGCTCGGAGCACATACACATCATGTCTTCATGGGTTTGGCAAATCAAAGTGTGTTAACCCTTCCTAGGTGGTGACATCCAACTACATCAATAAAAAAGGAAAAGCAGATCTGACCCTTACTCTTTAAACCCTAGGCAAATTTTTCACGCGCGCTCCTTTTTTTATCAACCTGGCTTTGATACCATGTGGATAATTTGAGAGAAAACATATATATATATATATATATATATTCTTACTTAATCTCAATATTGTAATGCAACTAGGTATTTATACATCAAGGCAGTGCAAAAAAAATAATAACTATTAAGTACTACAAATGATTGATAAAGCCTAATGAGTAGAATATATTTACAACAGTTACAATATCTCTACATAATTAACTCCTAAACTACTGCTACTTGAACTAAGATCATCTATAAGACTAGCAACAGATCAAAATATTTAACTAATTTTCATTCCTGAAAGCACCATACAACAACACGAAGAAGCCTTATTAAATTTTTAGAAATATTGTTAATTAAAAGGTTTTGCTCAACAACTTCCAAAAGTGTTCTTTTTGGCTTCCTTCACCCTTCTTAACAGGGCTCAAAGTCATTTGTTCCGCTCTCCTCACAAGTGCTTCCTGTAATCTTTTTTGTACATATCCAAACCGTCTCAAACAATTTTCTATCATTTTTTCTTCAATAGGTGTGAGGCTCACATTTTCCCGTATGCACTCATTTTGGATTTTGTCTTTACGTGTACATATGCATATTCATCTCAACATTCTCATATCTGTTACTCTAATTTTATGCTCTTGTTGTCTTGTTAAGGCCTAACATTCACTATCGTATAATATTGTTGGTCTTATAGTAGTTCAATAAAACTTCTCTTTAAGTTTATTAGGTACCTTACAATCGCAGATAACACCTTTAGCCTTTCTCCAATTAAACCACTCAACTTGTATCCTATGTGCAATATCCCCATCAATTTCCCCATTATGTTGAATAATTGCTCTCAAATATCTAAACTTTTCCACTTGAGATATGATCTAATCACCCAATTTCACTTTCAAATTACTACTCACTGACTTTTTATCAAAATTACAGTGTAGATATTCCTTTTTACTCCTTAACTCCAATGTCCTCTTTCATAACTCAAGTTTATAATTAATCTCTTTTCTTGTCTCCACAATAAGAGCTATATCATTCTCGAAAAACATGCATTTAGGGATTTCTTCTTGATTATGCTAAATCAAAACATGTAAGACTAGATCAAACAAATAAGGGCTCAAAGGTGATCCCAGATGCAGTTCAATCTTTATAGAAAAGCCTTTTATTTTGCCGCAATATGTTTTTATACTAGTTGTTGCCCTCTCATACATATCTTGTATAGTTCGAATATAGGAAACCCATACATCCTTCTTTTCCAATACCCTCCAAAGGATTTCTTTCGATACACAATCATAAGCTTTTTCTAAATCAATGAAAATCATATGTAAGTCTTTGCCTTTGCATCAATACTTTTTCATTAATCCCCTTAACAGATAAATCGCTTCTATAGTTGCTCTACCTAGCATGAAGCTAAACCGATTCTTATAAACACCAGTTTTCAATCTCAACCTATGCTTAATCACTCTTTCCCATAATTTCATAGTATAACTCATAAGTTTAATTCCATTGTAGTTAGCATAATTTTGAATATCTCCTTTATTTTTGTAAACAGGAACTAAGGTGTTCCTCCAATCGTCAGGTATTCTTTTGGATTGTAAGATCTCATTAAATAACTTAATTAACCACCACAATCCTTCTTTGCCCAAACATTTCCACATTTCAATAAGGATATCATCAAGTCTAAGAAATTAGGATTTAGGAAAAGATATTTTAGGATCCTAGGGTTAGGGTTATGTGATTGCTTATATTAAGCCCTAATGTGTCCTATTATGATTATGGAATTAGAGCTACAGAGGTCACTTTACCATTGTTTCTACAGAAACCAAGTCATAGTTTTCCCAACTAGTTTGGACGATGTTTGCACTTTTGTAAAAGTTAAAGGGTATAGGGACCATTTTCAACCACTTATCTACGATCCAAAGTTTTCTCTGGTTCAACCAGTAACTCTTAATCATTAGATATAGAGTGTTAAAAAATCTACCACAAATAAGGAAAACTTCTGCTACATACATTTAATACTCAAGTAACTTCAAATCCATGGAATTTGATTTCGTTCCCTCTCCAAACCTCAGACTAAAAAAACTACCAAATTGTTGAGAATCAGAATATATATTGTATTTAATGTATGATATTAGGGCTAACTACATTCTTATTAGGCATATCAATATATATCTTTTGTCATTATTACTCTTTATTTCTTTGTCTTGTATACACGATTATAAATAAGACAAACTGTTGCTCAGTATTTTGACTGAATATCTTTCCTAAATCTCTCTCTTATTCTTATGGTATTAGATTAGGTTGGATGCCTAATTGATCAACACTCTACTTCAGGAAATTGTGTGTTTATTGGTGGAAACTTAATTCCCTAGAAGAGCAAGAAACAAAATGTTGTTGCAAGATCTAGTGCTAAAGCAGAATATCATGCCATGGCTTTATTGACACGTGAACTTATCTGGTTAATGAAGCTTCTTCAAGAATTGAAATATGGGAATGTCACTAAAATGGATTTGATTTGTGACAATCAGGCTACCATGCATATAGCTTAAAATCTGGTGTTTTATGAGAGGACCAAACATATTAAAATAGGTTGTCATTTTGTGTGTGAGAGAAGATTCAATCAGGTTGTCTCTCTATGAAATATGTTAGCTCCAATGATCAATTAGCAAACAAATTAACTAAAGCTCTCTGAGGTTCTCGAGTTAAGTATATTTGTGACAAGCTTGGTGTGTATGACCTATGCACGCTGGCTTGAGGGGGAGTGTTGAGAATCAAAATATATATTGTATTTATTGTATGATATTAGGGCTAACTAGATTCTTATTTGGCATATCAGTATATATCTTTTGTCCTTATTACTTTTTATTTCTTTCTCTTGTATATATGATTATAAATAAGGCAGATGGTAACTCAGTATATTTATTGACTACTTTTCCCAAATCTCTCTTATTCTCACAAACTATGGACCCAGTAAAATTCCCGCTAGTTATTGGAGATCTCAAATATGAACCTATTTTTTAATTATATTTTTCTGTTTAAGTTTTTTACTATTTTTCTGCTATATTTCCTATTATTTCATATTATATTTAGTTTAGGATCAGATTTTGTCAAATTAGATTTTATCAGTTATTGAACAAGACCTTTTGGTTAACATTTATTTAAAGATTTGGTTGTTAATAAAGTATAATGACATTGTATAATTCATATAATCAACCTCACCAAGTGAGATAAAGCTTGTTGTAAATTTCATTTTATTTTATCATATTTGAGATATCCCATTCAGAATACAGTAGATCCTCTCAGCTGAAGTAAGCTAATAAATGTATTCACTTTAATGATGATTGAATAAGAGAGAAACAGAGGAAATAAAACCTCTTTTATCCACATTTAACTAAACTGTTAACAGGAAAATTGGCATTGTTTACATTTTTGTTAACAAAGATTACTGGGAAGTGAATAATTTAATTGGCTGACATATTAATTGTGCAGACCAGCTCAGATGGCACACAAAGTGAAATTAGGGATGCCACCACTGCATCATATATGCTCTCATTTGATGACATTGGCTTCTTCATTTCTGTTTCATGTGAACCTATCCGTAGTGATTGGGCTCGTGGTCCTATAGTCCTTTCTGAACAAGTGGGACCAATATTACCTGGTAATAAGTTATTCTAGTTTTTATTTGGTTTACATGTTCTGTTTATCATCAGTTATGATCTTTGTAATATTTTCTTGTGATTCAACACTTGTTTTTTGAAATGACGTTGCAATTTAGGTCCCCCGATGTGTCATTCTCTGGAATTTCTTGGATTGATGATAGAGGGGCAACGTTTGAGCTTTAATGCTGTTTATAGTGGAGGGTCAGACTTATGCCATTCATCTTTATATGTTAAATAAGTAATATCATGACTTATTTTATCCCTTTCGTTGTTTACCCTCGTGGGATTTTTTTTTAGTGAGCAAGGAGATTGCATGTACGAGTGGTTCAGAGTAACAAACATTGGTGTAAAAGAGAAGATCAGCAATCTTGGTGAGCTTTTTATAGTTACTAGATAATGGTTTTCTTATCTACTCATTATTGTAAATTTAAATATTTGAATGTCGTAATTTGCAGAATTTCTGGATTTGACTCTTGCGGATGTTGGTGGTTGCATTGAACTGGTCTATACTCCAATATGCAAAGATGGAAGCAAAGGGAGCATAAAGAGCATTGTATCTGATGTGATATCTCCTGGTAAGATCAAGTTAAATGATTAGAGAATTTTAATGGATCTTGAAGTGTTTCTTGGAGAAGCAGAGATCAATGTGCTCAAAAAGCACGCAATATGGAAATTCTGGTGTATGATTCTGTTCTGTATTCTATATCTAATGCAGTGCACAAGGCCATTATATCTAAATAGTTATCATATCCTAGCTATGTTGGTGCCATATGGTCCCTTATATTATTAACACATCCCACGTGCTTGTTTCAAGCTTCACAGATATTCTGTTGCGTAAGAAATTTCAACATTTGAGGTACAGAATGCGTTGATCTAAATTGTAAAGCCTAGTTATGGTGGGTATTTTAATCAGTAAGGCCAACTACCATCCTCGAATGATTATTACAAGACAAAATCCATTCCACCTACAAAACTACTACATTAATATATCTTCCATCTGCTCAAGCTAGGGAGTAAATGTCTATCATCATAAATATCAGACATTCCAACACTCCGTTATCTACTCAAGCTAATTATATACAAATTCTTTCATAATTATATGCATATGCTAACTTGGGACTAAATTAATTATCAAATAGTTGGACTTTGGACTTACTGTTTACTTTCACATGAACGATCAAGACTGAGTCATGGAATTGACTTTTATTCTAATTAATGATCTGATTCCCTAATTCATGTATAATTCCCTTTCAAGATAGAACATGAGTATCTGTCTTAATCCTAAGTATATTCGAGTAGAGATTGCTGTGTACTTTCATCAACGTACTTGTCAAGACAGTTTTGCTATGGAATGTCAAAACGGTCTTGAAACAGGCTTCTTATAACGATTACCTATGTTATCGTATTCATTATATAAACTTTACAATGGCATACCGTTGAAAAGTTTGAGAAAGAATTGTATTTCTCATTCATCTAATTCATTCGTACAGATTGGGGGGAGATTTATACAAAGAGGGTGATTTGTACAATAAATGCAGTAAAATAAATGTAATAAATACAAATAGAAACTGATGCAATCAAGCCCTGATTTTCCTATATCTGATGTGATAAATCCAGATTTTCCACACATACGTTAGGGAAGTGTCTGTTACTGCCCCTAGGCCATGGCAGTTTGAAAATTTTCCAAACAGATTTATGTTTCTGCCTATTTTGGGGTTAATGAACTTTTTTCTTTTTATCATGGTTAAATTGTGAGATATTGTTTTAATTTTAACATTGATACAAATATACATGTCCCAATGTATTTTTTTGTTTGTGTTCTATGCACAGCCGATCCCAAGGGAAAGGACCTTTGGATTCCTGACTGCTGTGAGGACAGAGAGATTGCTCCACATAAAACATATTTTGGTGGAGAGGAAGGAATTGGAGAATATATTTGGTATCGGACAAAGAATAAGCTTGAAGGTTCTGTGCTGCTAAATATATCTCACTCTTCTGAAGATGTAGTCATGTGTGGGACAGAGCCGTGAGTTAAACCTTGTGCTGTGATTTTGAAAAAGATAACTTCTTAAGTTTAAACTTTTTGTGATTATTTTCTTTATTTTGTCAGAACATATAAACCTTCACTTGAAGATGTTGGAGCTTATTTAGCATTATGTTGGGTGCCTATTCGTGCTGATGGAAAACAGGGGGAGCCATTGACTTCAATTTCGAGTTCCCCAGTTTCCCCTGGTATAAATCTCTGCAGTTCTTTCTCAAAGTTCATTTCTAATATATTTATTATGTAGACCTTTTTCTTTTTGTGGGGAATAAATTTATGTAGTTACTTGTATCCTTGTTATTAGGTTCTCCAATCAAAACACCAAGTCAATGGTTCTTTAAAAATGTTGTTAGAGGCGTATCATTTTCTGCTGAAAATTTTATACCGCAAATCCTACAGCTTTTGGCTGGGAAAAAATAAAAAATAAAGCTGTCAAACTCTTCACTTATGCTTTGATTGAGGAGCTTAATATTAAGGATATAATAAACTATATATGAGTTTAGCCCTTTTTGATAATTCTTATTATGTTGGATGGTTATGACTCCAGCAGTTGATAAGCTTGACCGGTTTTTAATTTTTGTAGCATATTTCCCACCTCCAATTTCCTTCTTGACATTTGATGTCTGAGCATGTTTATGTAAGTATATGTATTGTTATCTTACTCTAAGGTGAAATTTTCAGCTCCTCCAATAGTTTCTAATGTCCGTGTGAAGAAGTTTTCGCATGGAATTTATTCTGGAGAAGGTGAATATTTTGGCGGACATGAAGGAGAGAGCCTCTTTAGCTGGTACAGAGAAAATAAAGAGGGAACCATTGAACTGATTGGTGCAGCAGTTTCTAAAACTTATAAAGTTTCTGATTCTGATTACAATTGCCGCTTGTTATTTGGGTAATTATTTTAACTTTACTCTCTTACTTTAATGTTTTGTGTAATAAAAAGTGCATGATATATCTGAGAATTTCTTTCTTTATTCCCATAGTCCAAAACTGATACAAAGTGTCAACCATATACTATGAGATCCAACCAAGAAGTCGGCAACAATACAATAATTATTAATCCCCTTAGTCACTGAAACAGTACAACAAATGTTTACAATTAAATTCTACACTTCCCTTTATCAAATCACAGATGTTGATCGTGTCCAATTTACCAACGAGTTCTTCAAATGTATGTAGTGGTCCCTTGATGAAAACACTTGCAATTTGTTCCTTTGTAGGATCTCATACAGATGACCCCTTCTTCTTCATTCTATTTGATAAAGTGGCTAATAACTTCAACATGCTTGGTCCTATCATGTAGAAGATTGAGTAAAATGTTAATGGCAGCTTGGTTTTCTTAATAAACCTTGATTGGAAGCTTTATATTGACAGTTAGTTCTTCTAACAACTTTTGAAGCCACAAAACTTCACAAATTCCTTAAGCTAAGATCTGAATTTTGGTTCTGCACTACCTCTTGTTACCACATTTAATTTCTTGGTTCTCTATGTAACTAGGTTTCCTGCACATTTTTCAAGCATCCTAGTCAACCAAAATTAGTAAACACCTCAACATTGGCTTGTTCTCTCTTTTTGAATGGTAGGCTTTTGCCTAGTGATCCCTTTTTAAAAACATGGGATTTTGTAAGAGCTTCAAGTTTTGCCACTTTAGACTAGTGCATTTGTTGACTGACAACACTCATGCAAAAGCAATGTCAACCCTTTTTTGGGTCAAGCATATTAACTACTAACTAGATTTTGATATATTTCTCAATCAATTAGTTAAGCTACATCATCAAATTGTTTTTCAGTCTTTGTGAGAGTGTCACTTGGTTTGCACCCTAACATTCCAATTTCTTCCAAAAGGTTTAATGTATATTTCCGCTAATCTTTTACTTTAAAATTTTGTGGAAGTGCTTATTCGAATCTTTCCATTCATGTCACATCATCACATATCATTGCCTATAAGAATTGTGCCATCCACATATGCAATGCCTATAATTCTTCCCACTTTATGATTTGGGAAGAATGTGTGGTTTATGTGACTATGGTTTTCCCCTTAGTTCTTTAGTAATTTTGCAAAACGTCCAAACCACTCTCTTGGAAACTACTTGAGGCCATATAATGGTTTTCTCAACATGCATACCTTGGTAGGAAATGGAGCCAAAAGTATGCTAGGAGGGAGAGCGCTAAAGGCCTAACAAGTTTCTATGGTTTCATCAATATCTCTTTTGGCTTAGAGAATATCCCAGAAATACACACTTGATGACATGAATATTATGAACAGACACAATTCACTTGAATACTTTAAGAGGTAAACCAGCTTCAAGTCAAGTAGTGGGAGAGGTTTCATAAAGTGTTTTGAAGAACTGTGATAAAAGAGAGTACTCAACTAGGCATGCTCTACATAAGGTAGATGGCAATAAGGGAAAATTTCAATGAGGACCCCTTGACCCAATTTAATTTCAGTCAAAGCCCCTAAAATTCTGAAATTTCATTGTACACATTGAAAACTAAAATGAAATTAAAAAGCTATCTAAGATGACATTAGCATCCTTAGTAAAATTAGGTACACAAATAACTCATATGAGGAAATTAACAATTGATGTGCGGAATATGAACAACTAATATAGACGGAATGTGCAACTCTCATTAACAGTATAACATGTGAAATAGAATTAATTAGGAATTATTTTAGAATTATCTTGCTCCTGATTTATAGGGATAATAAGGCGAGATTATGGGAGAAAATAAGGGGTCTTGATTCATTTTTTATTTTTTCCATATTTAGCTGACCTTGTAACCTGTATCTAATCATATAATCATATTGTTATTGAAGTAACATATACGCTTCTGATCCACGAAGCTACATGGTATCAAAGTTGGTTGATTCTGACCTTGAGAATGCTGAAGTCGACAATTGACGAAGAGGGGAGTCATTATCGAGTAGTCCAAGAACTTGTCCCATGAGTTCGGGCATCGAGACTTCCCAGCTTAACACCTATGGTGGAACTCCCCACGGGTTGAGTTCTACCAAATGGTCATTTTTCCTTATCGTGTCTGATAGAGTCAACGGACGCAACTACCGAGAATGGGCTCAAGCTATAAAGGTTGCCATTAGAGGTCGTGGCAAATTGGGCTTTATCACTAGTGATTCCAAAGCTCCAGATGGATCCGACACAAAGGCTGCAATGAAGTGGGAGACCGAGAACTCGATGGTTTCTTCATGGCTGATCACGGCTATGGCTCCATAAGTACGACGATCATTCATGTTCTTGCTGACAGTGAAGGATATCTGGGATGCAGTTCGCAAACCATATTCTTATGGTGATGACTGTGCTCGTATATACAATTTAAAAACAAAAAGCAAGCAAGTGAAGCAAGGTGATCGTGACCTTACAGAGTTCTGGTTAGAGCTAGTTGCAATATGGCCGGAGATCGACCTTGACACTGAAGAAGAGTGGTCATGTGCTCGAGATGCTGTAAGGTACAAAAAATGGATTGAGGATGAATGGGTGTTTCAATTCTTGGCTGGTCTTCATCAATCTTTAGATGATGTTCATAGCAGAATCTTAGCTCGCTCTCTACTACCTTCAACTCGTGTGTCGAAAGGTGATGCTTATTGACTCTGTTTCAGTTCCTCTTTCATCTGAACCTTTGGCTCTGGTAAGCAGGAACCTTGATCAAGGATCAAAGGAGACAAAAGGGAAGGTTTCTTGTGATCATTGTAAAAAGACTGGTCACACCAAAGATAAGTGTTGGGATCTTCATAGGAAGCCACTTGACTGGAAACCATGCAAAGGGAAGGCACGTGGATACCAAGCTGCTCCTGAAAATGCTCCAGACAAGTCTCGATCTATGCCCACAATTGATAAAGACCAGTTAGCAAAGCTCCTGGAGATGCTGCATACACTACAACGATATGAGTTATCACCTCAAATGACACATAGTGCTTTTGTTGCCAAGCAAGGTAACCATTGTGCCTTGAATACTTCCTTTCTTAAATTTCAGTGGATTGTTGATTCCGAAGCCTCTGATCACATGACTGCGGACTCCACTTTGTTCACATCATATTCTCCATGTAGTGGGCACGGAAAAATTGATACTGCGAATGGCGCATCTTCTTCTATTGCTGGAAAAGGAAGCATTACTATTTCTGACTTCTTACACTTGGATTCTATACTTCATGTACCATATGTAGCTTGTAATCTTTTGACTATAAGTAAGTTGACCAAGTAAGTTCACTGTAGTGCTCATTTCTTCTCTACTCGCTATATTTTTCAGGATCTCTCATCGGGGAAGGTGATTGGCAGTGCTGAGGAGTGTGATGGGCTTTACTATCTTGATGAATCAACCGTGAGCAATCTTTGGTCTCGTATTCAGTGTAATCTCGTGTCGACCTCTAAAAATAATGATTTTTTGTTATAGCATAGAAGAATGGGTTACCCTAGTGTCCAATATTTGAGTCGTTTGTTTCCTCATTTCTCATCAAATAAAATTTCTAGTGTTCATTTTGACACATGAATTGGCTAAACACCATCATTCTTCTTTTCCGCGCTCTGAATACAAACCTTCCAAACCATTTTCTATTATTCATAATGATGTGTAGGGTCCCTTGCATGTGCCGAACCATACTCTAGCCAAATGGTTTGTTACCTTCATGGACAATCATACTCGTGTATGTTGGGTATACTTGATAAAAGAGAAATCTCATGTAACCCAAATATTTGAATTCTGTACCATGATTCTTAACCAATTCTATACTTAAATACAAATTCTCCAAACTAATAATGGCACTAAATACCTAAACCGGGCTATGAGTGATTTCTTGAAAATGAAAGGCATAGTTCATAAAACCACCTGTCTAAATAGCCCTCAACAAAATGGCATAACTGAGCATAAAAACAAACACTTACTGGAAGTTGCTCATGCCCCTGTGTTCACAACTCACATGCCAAAATTTTTTTGGGGAGATGCTATCCTTATTGCAGCTTATCTTATAAACTGCATGCCAAGCAAAATGTTATCTTATGTCACCCTACTGAATCGTCTTCGTGAAACTCACTCCCTTAATCACCTCGAACCTAATCTTCCATTGCGAATATTCTCATTGTGTATGTTGATGATATAATCATTTCTGGTGATCATAGTGCGGAAATAATGAGGATAAAATCGATTTTGAGTCAAGAGTTTAAAGTCAAGGATCTTGGGAAGCTAAAGTACTTCTTAGGAATGGAAGTTGCAAGATCAAAGGAAGGCATTTATGTATCTCAAAGAAAATACATACTTGATCTCTTAAAGGAGATAGGTATGTTGGGGTGTAAACCTATTGAGACACTTATCGTTGTTCCAAAGAAGAGACAGAAGACCAAGACGACGGAAGAAGATTCCAATGAAGAAATTGAACTAGCTAAAGGAGATGAGGAGAAAGAGAACCCAGCAGATAAAGAGAGATATTAGAGACTTGTAGGGAAACTTATCTACCTCTCTCATACACTACCTGATGTAGCTTTCACAGTAAGTGTAGCCAGTCAATATATGTGTGAATCAAAGGAAAAACACATGGAAGCAGCATACAGGATTCTAAGGTACCTAAAAGGTACCCCTGGTAAGGGCTTGTTGTTTAAAAAACGTGATCAAAGAACTATAGAAGTATACACTGATGCAGATTGGGGTGGACACCATCCAGATAGAAGATCTACTTCTGGATACTGCTCATTTGTGTGGGGAAATCTAGTTACTTGGAAAAGTCAAAAGCAAAGAGTTGTCTCCAAGAGTAGTTCTGAATCTGAGTTAAGGGCACTGGCTCAAGGCATAATGGAAGAAATATGACTAAAACGGGTACTAGAAGAGCTTCATGTCAAATTAGATCTACCTTTAAGATTGTACTGTGATGATAAAGCTGCTATAAGT